AAAATACATGTTATTAAACATATATATATATATATAAAAATGCATTATTTTGTAACGAAAAAAAAAAAAAAAAAAGAGATAAAAATATGATAAATATACAGAATATAAAAAAAAACCTAATATAAGAATTGTGCTTACAAAAATATTAAATATAACAAATTATTTATATATTATTCTTTAAAATCAGACGTTTTTGTTTGATTACTTCTTTATGTCTTTTTTTTTGCAAAAATTTTTTATTTTTACCATCCTAGCAAAAAAAAAAAAAAATTTTTTAGTATATAAAAGTATAATTTTAAATTAATTTTAAAAAAAAAAAATATATATATTTATATATATATATATATTACATTTATAAGTTTATTTAAATAATCATTATTTAAGTTATGTATATTTAAATTAAATTTGGAATATTTTTCAATGACTGTTGTACAATCCTCTATAAATATTTCAATGCAATCATATATATATTCATAATAATTAAAAGTATTTTTTTTTTCTTCTCTCTTTTCATCTTCTATTTTATTTTCTTTAGTATCTTCATCTTCATTCAAATCATTTAACCTATAAATGAAAAAATAATAAATAAGACATAACTCGTTTTTTAAAGCAAATATATAATGTCCAATAATATATATAAAAATACAAGTAAATTACACATGTATACTATATTTAAATAAATTATAATATTATATCATGTATGCATATAGATTAACATTTAAATGTAAAAATATATGTTCTTTAAAGAAATACATATATGTACAATTATTTTTATTTGTATTTTTTATTTATTTTTTATTTATTCTTTATTTTATTTATATTTACTTAGACGTATCTATGTTGTAATGTTTTATTAAATTATTTGTTAAATTATTCAATAAAACTATAACAAAACATTTAATTTTATTTAAATTTAAATTAATTAATGAAAAATTTTCATTGTTAATCTCATCATCATTGGTTAAATGTCTCATATCTTCATTTAGAGAATACATAGAATCTTTATTGATCTTAAAATTTTCTAGGTCATTATTAAAATTGATAGTTGATGAAATAATATAATACACTTTATTTATATCATGAATTAATAAAGTGATTTCACTATAAGTAGTAAAGTTTAAATAGGATATAAGATAAATTAAAATTTGCAAATATAAAAATAAAAAATAATTAATATATGAATATTCATCCATTATCATATAATGCTGTAAAAGGTGATTATACTTTTTTTTAACTTTTCTTAGAATGTTTATTTCATTATAATTTTCTTCAGAGCTACTAATATTTGAAACATCTACTGTGAAATTTTTCTCTTTTTTCATATTTACACTTTTTAATGAGATTTGTTTGTTTTCCTTAAAATTTTTATTTTTACTTCTTTTTTGATCTTTATTATTTATCGCAGAAGAATTAGAAGCACTGTCATTTGGTTCATTTAAGAACTCTTGTTGATCATCATTTAATGGAATATAGTTATTAATAATATGTGAATAAATATGTTTTATTTGATTAATTTCAACTGTAACATTTTTATTATTAATATTATTATTAGTAGTAGTAGTATTATACTTAGTATTTACATCTCTTATAAAATTTTTGATTTTGTCGTATAAAACAAAATGACATGCGTTTTCTATTTCTTTCAGTACAATTTTTAGATATTTCCTTTTCAATCTTTTATCAGCCAAATTATCATAAATATCTAATAGACTTTTAAAAAAAGAAGAATCCATTTTACTGAATAAAAATAATCTGTTCATATTAATGTTCTCTGTTTTATTACTCATGTAACTATTTTCAATTATATAAAATAATAAATATTGTAAGCATTCTGCTAAATTATTTAAAAAATTATAATTTTCTTTCTCTATAATACAATTAATAACTTTTTCACTTCGTAATTTAAGTTTCAAATCTGATGAAAAACACAAACAGAACACACTTGGAGATATTTTACTACTTTGTATAAAACCTTCTTTATATAAATGGTTTAATATTTGAACTCCTAAATTTTTGATAAAATTTAACTCTTCGTCAGTACATTCAATATATATGAATTTATTCACCATTAATATATCAATTATTTTTTGTGTAAATAAGGAAGCTACTAATAAAACATGAATAATATCCTTATTTTGTGAATTTAACGCACTTTTACTATTTTTCATATTCATTATGTTTTCATTTTCTTGTTCTTCATCATTTATTTCTTTTTTTTTCCCACATTCCATCACACGCTTATCATCTTTTTTGTTTTTTTTTTTTTCATCATCATTTAAATATTTCACCTCTGTTTCTTTTCCTTCCAAAGATTCTTCCTCTTTTATTTTCTCTTCTTTTCTATTTTTTTTTTTTCTTGTAATTTCATTACATTGCTCATTATCATTACTACTAACTATATTAAGATTTGTACAACATGAATCAGGTGTTTTGTTACAAGAATCTGTTAATTTATTTTTCTCATCATATATAATAGTCTGCTCATCACTAAGTCCTTTGTTTTTTACATATTTCTTGTTTTTATTTGTATCTTTTCTTTTTTTTTTAATATTATTATTATCATTATTTTTTTTTATACTATGTTGAGCTAATGATGAAATATCACTATTTTTACTATTATTTAAAGAATTTTTAACATTCGATTTTTTTTCATTAAAGTTACATTTTTCTTCTTGTTGAATGAAAATATTATTTTTATTACTTAAAAAATGTTCATATGTTTTAATTAATTGAAGAAGTGTATATAATAAGCTTCTTTGTAAGGTAGCATTAGAACTATTGATACAATAGAAAAGAACATTTCTTAATTTTAAGTCATTGATAAAATGAGAATTATAATAATTAGATAAGATTTTATTCAAACAATGAAGAAAAAAGCATTTATATTTAACATCACTGGATAAATAAAACATATCTATTAACAAATTTACAAGAATTAAAGATAAATTATAAAACTTATAGTTGCAAATATCTACAAATTTTTCTATTTTTTGAATGCCTACTTTTTTATTTATAATTTCAAAGATAATTTCATTTTTTAATTTCAAAATATTCCATTGTTTAATATAATTTATTTGTTTGTTATATATAAATTCAAAATATAAAATACCATTACTATAAATTTTAATATTTTTTATAATATCCGATAACTTTATATATTTCATATCATTATTTTCACTAAAACTACTTGATTTTAAAGAATAAGCATAATCAATTTTTTTTTTCTCTTTTAAATTTTTCATTTGTATATGAATATTTTCATCTACATCTTCTGAATATACATCATTAATAATTATTTTATTCATATTTATAAATTCAAACATAACAGAAATAAACCAAGCGTATTTATTAATATTTAATATGTCATTTTGTGTTATTGAAAACATTTCAAAAATGTGTTTTTTATATTGATCTAAATAGCATATAAATTCTTCATATTTTATATCAATAATGTTATCAATAAAATAATTATTCGGATGATCTTCCTTATCATCATTACTATTAATGTTATTATTATTATTATTATTATCATCACTATTGCATTCATTATCTTTGTTGTTTTTTATTTGATCATAATATAATTCACATAAATTATGTTTTATATTTTTTTTTTCTTCTTGTTTCATAAAATAAAATTCTCTTACAAAATCATTTAATTGTACAATATAATTATTAATGAGAAAACATAATTTATATTTATGTAATTTTATAAAACATTCTTCAATATAATTTTTAAAATAAACAAAGTTACAAAAAATATATGTGTGCAATGTACATAATAAATGAATATACGATCGAGAAATAAAAATATTATTATGATATAATAAAGAATTATTAAAGTTTACCTTTTTAAACTGCAATTTTAATTGTAAATCATATTTACAATATGGAATAATAGAAGATAATAATTCACAAACATCTTTAGATACTCCATTGTTATATATATATGGATAGAAAAAATTTACATATTTAATGAATAAACCTGGAATTATTTCAATAATAATGTTTAAAATATTCATAATTTTTTTTGTTTCGTTTTCAAGTATATTGTTTCTTCTACTTTTTATAAATAAGCAAATTAAATTATATATCCATACTTCTAAAATATATTTTATACTTTTTTTATTTAACACTTCTAAATGTTTGTAGAAACTATTCACATATATATTGTAAATATTATTTTTTATAATTATTGAATTATTATCTTTATTTATTTTTTTTTTATCTTCATCGTCTTCATCATCAGTATAATCATCATTAAAATCTATATTTTTGCATTTAGAATAATTCTTATTTCCACTAATATTCTCATTTTTTTTTAATTTTTTTTTGTTTTTTTCTAAAATATTTTCATTTAAGATTTCATTTATAAATTCAAACTTGTCTTCATATTTTTTCATATTCTTATCAATATATGCAAGCATTTTATTTATTATATTTATATTATGTTTATTTTTCATAACATACAGTAAATGAATAAACATGACATACATATTTTTTTTTATTTTTATATATTTGTTCGAATCTTCTTCTATATCTACTGACTTATTATCTTCTGATTCTATACTACTAGGTAAAGACTCATGTAAATTTTCGTTAACATTTTCTTTTTCATTTAAATTTGATGGTAGTAACGCATTTTTGTTTTCTTTTGTAGCCTTTATAAAAATATTTATAAAAAATATCTCAATGAGTATCTCTAATATTATATTTTTCATGGTATCATTATCAAATGTAGAAACGTATCTTTCCATTATATCATTTAATATTAAGATATTATCATTGATACTATTTTGTTTATTTTTCTCACAATTTATATCATTCATTTTTTCATTTATAAATTTGTTATCAGTTATATTTTCTTGATAATTATTATTATAATTATATTTTTTTACATATATATTAAAATAAATAATATATTTTAATATTTTCACACTAATAATTCTTACACTAATCTTTATGTCTTTTGAACATCTTTTAATAGAATCAACTATATCTTTAGTAATATAATCATTTAAATCAATTGAATTATTATAAGAATTAAAATGATTATTTTTATCTAATTCATCGTAAGATTTTTCATAATTATTTTTATTAGTATATTTTTCATCAGTACTATCAGACTCCTTATTTTTACTATCTTTATCATCCGCATAGTTATTACTTTCAAAATATTCATTTAACTGTGGGTATAATGATTGGTTTTTTTGATAACCATTAGGTTCTTCTAGATGTTCGCTATCTTTTTTTCTTTTATAATTATTAATTAATAATTCTATTTCTAAAAAATTTTTACAGAAATTATAAAAAATGTAAAGTGTGTACTCTCGAACCTTTAAATAATTGTCAGTTAAACATGATAATAAAATATTTTGTATTTGCTTACATTTAAGATATAAATAATTGTCATTTATAATATTATTGATTATTGAAATACTATAATACCTTAGATTCTTATTACTATTCTCATATAATATATAAAATAATTGATTAAATGCTAAAAAGAAAAAATCATAAAAAAAAAAATAGAGGTAAAGTTTCCATATAGAATTTATATATATATCAAAGTTATATGCGGAACTAAATGAAAGAAACATTTCATCTCTTTTATTTGCATTTTTAAATTCATATATTAAAAAATCATTTAATTTTTTTAAATGATTTTTTTTCTTTTTTTTTTCCAATTTTTTTTTTTTTATAGAAATACTAGATTTTTTTTTTTCTAATGATTTATATTTTGAATTCAAATTAAAATTCATATTGATTTCTTCATTTTCTTTTATAAATGTAAAATCGTTATAGAGAATCAGTATATATGAGTAAACATTATTGTAATCTTTATCCACATTTTCACTTAATCTATTTTTATTTATATGTATTAATATATAATAATAATATATAACAAAAATTTTTAAATTGTTGATAAATTTTTCATAACAATAAAATCCCTTATTTTTTTCTTTTTTTTTTTTAAATTTTAAATTTAAAAAACTATTATTCATTTGCGTTTCTTTTATAATAAAATACTTGACTATGTTTTTTACTTTACAATTGTCGCAATCATATTCTATTATATATGGAAAATTTTTTTTATTAATTATTGATGTATTTTTTTCATTATTGTTATTAATATTATTATCATTATTCATATTATCCTCATAATCTTTTTTATACGTTTGGCAAAAATTCTTATCAAAATATTCATTCTCCTCATACATAATATTTTCTATATTTAACTTATTAAAATCTTTATAAATACAAGTAAAATGATAATAATTTTCACAATGCAAACATAAAAACATTTTTTCCTTATTTTTAGTTTCATCACAACACTTAACATATTTTTGTATTTCCTTCAAATTAGTGACACTCTTTTCTTTATTTAAAATATTATTTAAATTGAAAGATACATTATTATTCTTTTTTTTTTCATTTTTATCTTCAATTTCTTTTGATTTATTGAAGGAATTTTCAGAAATTTCATTCAAATTATTAATATTAAAAAGTGGTTTTATAAATTTATCTTTATTTAGCTCTTTATTGAAATTGTATAATAAATGAAAACAAGAATAATTGATATAATTATATATATTAAATATATATTTAAAAATATATCTTAATATAAATAAACTTATTTCTTTTATGCTATTTTCATGTTTTTTATTTATGATATCAAAGAAAATATGAATAATATTTCTTATAAAAAGTATACTTGTACTAAATAGAGGATTATCACAACATTTAATTAAATCTAAAACAAGATATTGCAATATTATTTTAGCATTTTTATTATTTCCATATAAAATTTTTTCTATCATTTCTATTAAAATATAATTTATTACATTATTTAATCTTTTGAAATTTGTTCTCATCATAAAATTATTGAAAGATTCATTCGAATTTTCTTTAAATTCATTTTCTATTTTATCAGACTTTCTATTATTAATGAATATGTCTTCACGTTTTACTATTGTCATAGATTTCTTGTTATTTAAATCTTTTCCTTTTTTAATTTTCAGTGATAAATTTAATTCCTCTGTTTTATTCAAATCATCATATACAAAAATATCATCATATTTTATTTTATTTTTTTTCTTTTTTCTTAATGAATATTTTTTTTCTATGTTTGTATTATTACTTTTAGAAGAGTATATTTTATTGGTTTTTTCTTTTTTTTTTTTTTTTTTATTAATTTTAATATTATCACAACTCTTTTTATTTATATTATTATTGTCATCATTTTCATTTTCACTTATAAATATACTTAAATTAAAAGTTTCATCTGTTAAATTTGAAGTCTTATCACTGTCACTATTTTCTTGATTCTCTATTTTATATTCATCATCATCATCATCATCATTATTATAATTATTATTATTATTATTATTATTATTTTTTTTTTTTTTTTCCTTTAATAATAAAAATTTACTTTTTAAATCATCATTATACAAAGAAAATGATTCTGCGATTTTTATAAAAAAAAATGTTAAGAGATGTATATAAGTAGAATTAACATTATTATTTTTAAAATTCAACTTGTTATATTTAAAATTAATATTATTTATATTTAACATTAAGTTATCTATAATATATTTTTTAAAAAATTTTTTGTTATTATTCCTATATACTTTCATTAATATATTGATAGAGTTAACAATAATGTTTTGTACATTATAATGAATTTGAAAAGAAAGTAAACATAAATCTATTAAATTAACTAATATAGTGTCATATCTTTCAACATATTTATAAATGTCATAAATATATAATAAGCATTTTTCATATATATAATTTAGTTGAATTAAAAAACTTTCGTGAATATCATAGAATTCAATTACTTTATTTTTCACTTCGTTTAGACATAATTTTATTATTATATTTTTCAAATTTATTTTCAAATTAAAGAGAGCCTTTTCATTTAATTCATCAGTATTCAAATATTTTTTAAGGAAATCAAAATTCAATAAAATTAAATAAAATAAAATATTATAATTACCAAATATAATGTTATTCATAATTTTATTATTATAATTATTATAATTTTTACTTTTTTTTCTTGAAAATAAATTTTTTTCTAACTGCTCATTTGATTTTTCTTTCTTTTCATCAGAATATATTTCTGTTTTTTCATTTTTTCTATAACTTATATCTTTACTTAAAAATTCTTTTATATTTGTGAAAATTTTATCAAATAAAGTTTCTATTTTTTTTGTTTTATCATAAATTATATTTTTATCATTTTTTAGACAATCTTCCATTGATATAATTATTTTCTTCATTTTTTTGTTTTTATTTATGTCAATCAAATTTAAATTTAAAAACAAATTAATATTTTCTTCAAAGATTTCACTTAAACTATTCTTTTTTTTCGAAGAAATTTGATCGTTTGTATTTTTACTTATTAATGGATTATTATAATTTTCAAATAAATTTAAGTTATCTTTTTCACAAGGTAAAAAATAAGGTTTTATTAAACCATACTCATTCAATTGATGTTCATTATATTTCTCTTTATTTTTTAACACAACTAAATTTTTTTCTATTATATTTTCTTCCTTAATAGAAGTTGTATCTGAATTAAAATTTTCATTTTTATTTATTTCATCTCTTTTATTTAACTCATTCACTTTTTTAGTTTCACTCATTTTATTAATTTCATCTAATTGATTAACATTATTCATTTTATTAATTTCATCTAATTTATTAACATTATTCATTTTATTAACTTCATCTAACTGATTTATATTATTCATTTTATTAATTTCATCTAACTGATTTATATTATTCATTTTATTTATTTCATCTAATTGATTAACATTATTCATTTTATTAAAATCATTTAACTGATTTACATTATTCATTTTATTTATTTCATTTAACTGATTTACATTATTCATTTTATTTATTTCATCTAACTGATTTACATTATTCATTTTATTTATTTCATCTAATTGATTAACATTATTAATATTATTAATTTCATCTAATTTATTAACATGATTCATTTTATTAATTTCATCTAATTTATTAACATGATTCATTTTATTAATTTCATCTAATTGATTAACATGATTCATTTTATTAATTTCATCTAATTGATTTATATTATTCATTTTATTAATTTCATGTATATTCATATTTCTATTATCCTGGTTGTTCACATAATTATATAAATAAAAGTTATCTCTATTATCGTCATTTATATTATTACATGAAGTATGTATGTCTTTATTTAACTTAAAATTTTTATATTGATTTTTATATGTTAACTTTAATAAATTTACATAATTTATAACATGATCATTAACTTCATTACTATTATTATTACAATTATTATGATTATCTAAATTGTTACTATGTGTTTTTAGATTAATGAAATAATTATTTGATGAGTTTTGATTTAATGATTGGTTTAATTCAACGTAATTTGGGATTGGAATAAAGTAATCCTTTTTCTTTTGATGATGATTTATATTTTCTGCAAAATATTTCAAATTATTTTGAAAATTGTGATCAGCATAAAGATCATTCATTAGTGTAAGTTGTGAGATATTTTCGTTTGAAGCATCATATATGTCTATCTTCTCATTATTTGAATTTAGAATTTTTTTATTTTTGTGATAACACCTTTCATTATCATCTGTATATTTTCTCTTATTTTCTAAATTTTGAGATTTTAATATCTTAATTGCTATTTCTTCTGGTGTTTTACACCTATCTAAATTTTCAATATTTATATTATATGAATTTGCTACATTTATTATATTTTGAGATGAGTTTAATTCATTTTCTAAGTCTTTATTTATCTCACTTTTATCTAAATTGCAAAATATAAAACCTTCATCAATATTTGCATGAACATATGTAGAATTATTTAAGCCAACAGTGGTAGGAATAATGCTTCTAAACATATTGAATTATATAAACATAAAAAAAAAAAAAAAAAGAAAAATTAAAAAAAAAAAAAAAAAAATAGATATATTATGATTCCATCCCTATAAATATGTATTCCTCATTTTTATTTTTATTTTATATTTTTTTTTAAATTAATAATCTTATATAATTTCTAGGTAATGATTAAATCATGTAATTTTAAAGATTTTTAATAAAACAATGAAATTATTAAAAATATAAAAATGAGAAAAAAAATGAATGCGAATACTATATATATATATAAATAGAAACTAAATGTTTAATATTTATTATTTTTTTATAAATATTTCATTTTTCTTTTTTCTTATTAATTATTTATGATTAAAAATACAAAAAAATAAAATATTTTTATTTATTCTAAATTTAATGATTAATAAAATAGAAGTTATATATATATAAAAGTATAGATTTAAAATTATGCAAATTAAGAGTAAAATACTCTATTTATTAAAGGAAGATATGAAATAAAACAAAGTGTACATTTATTTTAGAGGTACTAATGAAAGAATAATAGAATTATAATACTTTAAACATATACAAATATAAATATTCAACAAAAAAAAAAAAAAAAAAAAAATTCGTGTTTTAACGCCAAAATATTAAAATTAGGACAAAAAAAAAAAAAAAATAAATAAATAAATAAAATAATAATATAGTAAAATAATAATTAAATAATAGATGCATGAAAAATAAATAAATGAAAAACATAAAAAAAAAAAATAAAAAAATAATTTGTTTTCGATAAGCAGGACAAAAAAATGAGATAAATAACAAAGAAAAAAAAAAAAAAAAAAAGAAAAGAAAGTTTGTCTGAAAATATAAAATTTTAACAGTATTTTTTTTTTTTTTTGATCAAATACATTTAAGTATAAGATTTAATTATATAATACAAAAATTTGAACAATTATGTTAATTTTTAAAATTTTACAAATTTATAGGATTATATAAAAAATGTAAAAGAAAATCTTTTAATGTAAACATTTATATTTTTGTATCTACCGAAAAAAAAAAAAAAAAGTTTGAGATATATAAATAATGATTTTTAATTGGAGATTATAATGTTATTTAAGAAGTTTCTATTAACAATTTAAAGAATTTTTTTTCATATATATTTTATATGAAGTTTTAAAATTTTTAATTTTATAATTTTTCAATTGTATTTACACTATTATAAAAATATTATACAATTTATATTTTTTAGTTTTTTTTTTTTTTTTTTTTTTTTGTATGTAATTTATTACATATTTTAAACTTAAACTTATTATAAATCATCGCTTTTAATATCAAAATGTCTATACATATTTTTAAAAATATTATAGAAAAAAAATTGATATCACCTTATTTTTTATATCTTTTTATGAAAAAATTATATCACCAACACATATTTTCTTGTTTTTATTTATAAAATTTGGTAATATGTGTGCATAATTTTTTTTTATTTATGTAAAACTTTTTTTTATAGTATTTTTCAATAGATATCTATATCTATCTATCTATCTATCTATATATATATATATATATATATATATATATATATATATATATATATATGCCTTTTTAAAAACATTGTTCATTATCTTAAATCATTATATTAATAAATTGTATTTGAAAATAAATATAAAATTAAATTACGAAAATTTTTATTAGTATTACAATTAATGTACTTCTGAAAAGTCATATATGATAATTTTTTTTTTTTTTTTTATAATTTACTAAAATATTTATAAATAAAATAAAATGCGAGTTATTATAATATATACCTAATTTATTATATGTATCTAATCAAGCTTATTATGTATTTATTTGTATCTACATAAATTAAGAAATTATCAAATCTTAAAATTTTTATCTTTTTAATCGTTTTATGCCACTAGGTTTACCAGTTAAAATTTTTCAATTCTTTGCCTATCTTTTTGTATTTTTTACAAGTCTTAAAATTTTTCTTCATAATATTGTCCTATTTTTTTTTATTTCTTATATTTTTTATATCACTCGTTTTTTTGGTATCTTTTTAAACATTATATTTTATTACATATTTTCCACTTATTTTTATATATTCTTTACAATATATAACACCTTTGGTATTTTTTTTCTTATACTAATTTTTTGAACTTTTTTTTTAAATCTTTTTCTACTTATTCTATTTACATATTATATATTTGTTCAAATATATACTTTTTTATTAATATAATATTTTAATGTTTAAAAAATTCATTTTTATAAATGTAAATTTAAATTTTAATATTTCACATTATTGATAACACAACTAATAAAAATAAAATCGAAAGGGAAATAATATAGTTCTCATTTTTTAAAGTTTTTTCAAAAAAAAAAAAAAAAAAAAAAAAAAAAAAAAAAAATTATTAAATAATAAAGAAAAAATTAAAATAAGAAAATTTAAATTTAAAAATTTTTTTTTTTTAAAATGAATATTAAAAATAGAACATATTATATATCTAAAAAAAAAAAAATTTATTTTCTGTATGCTCTGATTATTCAAATTTTTATAACTTAAAAAAAAAAAAAAAAAAAATAATAAAATAACAAAATGAAATTAGAAGGAAAAAATGAAGATAAAAAAGATGAAGTGGAACAAAAGAATATTTCACAAAGAATGAAGAAATTATGTTCTATATTAAATAGTCCAATTATTGATATAAGTATAAATTAAAATAAAATAAAAAATGAATAATAATTCATAAATATATAATTTTTATAAAAAAAAAAAAAAATGGACATAATATATATATATATATGTATGTTAATATGTATCTGATAATATTTTAATTATAAATTTAATTAAGAATATATCCTTTTATAATGAATATATACATATATATGAATTTACTTAATAGTATAATTTTATAAATGATAAATTAAATAAAATCAATTAATTTATTAAATACCCACGTTGATATAAAATTATTAATAAAATTAAAAATGATTAAATGATAAGTAACATTAAATTCACAATATTATTAGTTTCACTAAAAGATTAACTATTAAATAATTCTTTTTTTTTTTTTTTTTTTTTTTATATGAGCATAGATGAACTTAAAAATATTTTGTGGAGTGGAATACCTGATGAAATGCCTTTTAATGTAAGAGAAAAATGTTGGAAGTTAGCTTTAGGCTACTTACCTTTAAATACTGAAGACACTGATAAAGTATTAAAAAAAAAAAGAGATGAATATGAAAATTTGAAAAAGCAATATTATAACAAAAATAAATTATCTGAAGAAGAGTTAAAAATATTACGTCAAATAAAAGTTGATATTCCTCGTACAAAATCATGTTATAATATTTTTATAAATAAAAAAATACAACAGATAAGTGAGCATGTTTTATTTATATATTCCGTTAGGCACCCTGCATGTGGTTACGTTCAAGGAATAAATGATTTAATTACTCCTTTTTTAATAGTTTTTTTAAGACCATTAGTTACTAAAAAAGAAATAAGTTCTGATGATATTGATAAAGTCACTGATGATGAATTAAAAAATGTTGAATCTGATTTATATTTTTGTCTTTCTAAATTATTAGAACAAATTCAAGATAATTATACTTTTGGTCAACCAGGAATACAGAGAGCTATAATAAAAGTTAAAGAAATTGTGAAAAGAATTGACATTTCACTTTTTAATCATATTTATAATAATAATATAGATTTTATTCAGTTTTCTTTTAGATGGGTAAACTGTTTGTTATTACGAGAATTTCCTATAAATATATCTGTTAGATTATTAGATACATATATTAGTGATATATGTGATATTTTTACAGATTTTCATCCTTATATTTGTGCTGTTTTTTTAGTACATTGGTCAAAACATTTAAAAGAAATGGATTTTCAGCAAATGCTACTATTTATGCAACGCTTCCCAACACAAAATTGGAAAATTCAAGACATCGAATCTATTTTGTCAGAAGCTTTTGTTTTAAAAAATGCTTTTCAATCATCTCCAAAACATTTTTCTTAATTTCTTTTTTTTTTTTTTTTTAATTCATAAAATTTCCAAGAATATCATTTTATTGTTTTATTGTTATATTTTATTTCTTTTTTTCTTTTAAAAATTTTTTTTTTTTTTCATTTTTTACCTTCCAATTATTATATATATTCTATATAGCATAATTTTTTTTTTTTTTTTTTTTTTTTTTTTTGGGTTATTACAAAATGTAAAAAAAATTAATTCTCTAAAATTATTTTTAATTAAAAAATAGAATAAATCTTTTTACTTTATCTAAGCTTCTTTTTTTTTTTTTTTTTTTTTTTTTTTCTTTTAAATATATATAGTATATATAATTAATTTTTATCTAAGGTGCTATTTGATAATTAAGTAATATGGTTTAATAATGGTCATGCATATGAACTAAGTGATTTAATAATTTTTTTCCTTTTTTTTTTTTTTTTACAAAGAATCAGATAATTATAACTAATAATTTATAAAATAAAAACAATATTTTATATAATATTGTTATATTTTTCTTTTTTTTAAAAATATAATAATAATCTAATATGTATAAATATATTTCTAAATCTACATTTTTTCTATAACTTATGTTCTTTGGGGTGTAGTTATATTTCCTAAATATGGTTGTTCATTTGTTTTTTTTTTTTTTTTTTTTTTTTTTTCATATAGTTCCATTATATATTATTTTATATATTTTTTTTACATAATTTTATTTCATTCCTTTTAATTTTTTTACTCTTTCTTTTTTAATTTTTATTAAAAAAAAAAAAAAGTATTTTTTTTAATCCAATAGCTAATAGAATGGAAAAGAAATTAAGGACAAAAATGTAAAAGACAAATTAACATTCAAACGAACTTTAAAATAATAATTAAATCATTTATATATTTTTAAAAAAAATTTTTTTTTCTCTTTTACTAATAATCACTCCATATATTTATTTTTAATGTGCATGTGCCATCAAAAAATTTGAAAATATTTTGAGTAATACTAAATGAAAAATATAAGAGTAAGAACTCTTCAATTAAATATATCAATTTTGTAATAGTACTATTATATTTGTATATATATTAATATAATGAGAAAAAATTTTTAAAATTACAAAGTTATATATATATATATATATATATATATAATTTTTTTTTTTTTTTTTTTTAATGTCCATAAAAATACTACTTTTTAAAAAAACTTCAATTACAACAGTCATACACAACAGAACAAATTTTTTTTAGCTAGTTTAAACAAATAAAAATATAATAAAAATAATAATATTAAAAATATATTTATATATATATAAAAAAAAAAAAAAGGAATATATATACGATAAATAAAATATGTTAATATATATGATATATACTTTATAGATATTTATTAATAAAAGTTATTTTTAATTTTCTTATTTTTTTTTTTTCTTTAAATAACCTACTTAAAATAACAAGATGAGTCTAGAAGTAAAATTAAATGAAAGGAGACGTAATACAGAAGTAGTATATGAGTAATTATAATAAAAATAAAATAGAAGATAAAAATGTAAAAAAAAAGATATATATATTTATTGGAATATATCTCTTTTTATATTTTAATAAACTATCATAATATAATACTTAATGGTGATTTATCTTTACAAAAAAAAATGAGCATGCTAAATTATTTTTTTTTAGAGGATTTGGAAAAATAAATCAAGAAGTAAAATTAGGGAAGAGAAGATCAATTAAAAAAAATGGTAAAATTTAAAATAAACTTTTTTTTTTTATATTTTTTTTTTTTTTTTTTTTTGAATTAAAAATATATATTACGTTTATATATATATTATTCTCTTTTTTTTTTTAGAAGAAGAAGAAGAGGAAATATCAAAAAATTTACCTTTCTTTATAAACAGAAAAAAAAGAATAAGTGAAGTATGAAAATAAGCAAATAAATAAATGTATATATATATATACTTATATTTTTTTTTTTTTTTTTTAATAGAATTATGATTTTATGATGAATGTAAGTGAAGATGATACTGATGTACAACAAATAGCTGATATTTTACATTCATATCTAAATATAAGTGAGTCTATTGGAATAAGATTATCTTTATTATATAAAACAAAACAATATTACATGTTCAAAAATTATCTGATAGCAATAAAAGATGTTCTTGAAGGTTTTCATGTATTAAAAGTTACAAGAAGTGGAAAATTGCAAAATAAAAAATTATATTTTAATTGTTATCATATGAATATTATAGGAAGTTGGTCTAAAAAAATATTATTATATGATGAAATAATAGATATAAGTATTGGAAGTAGTTGCACACCTGAATTACGTATTTATGAAAATAAATTCAAAGATATTGAGAAAAGAACATATTATGTAGTATTGAGAACAAAATATAGAGATTACAGCTTTTTGTTTCTAATGGATGATGAAATTTTAAAACGAGATAAAAATTTATCAGTTTTAGGAACATTTAAAAAGTTATTAAAAAATAAAAAAAATATGAATAAAAAAGAAAATTCGGTAAATAGAACTTATCATAATTTAGAAATACAGGAAAATGTTATAACAGATAGTACTAAAGAAAACTCCCAAAAAACAGAAGATAAAATCAACGATAATAATCCAAAGAATATTAACAACAAAGATATTCAGATTAATGATAAAACAGATGAAGAAATAGATAATAATATTCGTAACTTTAAGAATTTTTTATTAACAGTTCTAAGAAGCTTAAAAGGAATAAAAATAAATATGAATAATGAAAAAATGAAAGCTATCTGTAAGCCAAGTAACAAAATTTACTTTGATAAATATGATTTTGACAATAAAAAAATTAATTCATTTTTTCTTTTTTTCCAAATACAATTAGATGTATGTGGTCCAGAAATTTGGTTTACCTCTAAGTTTAATGATATTATTTTTACATATAAAAATTAGTAGATATTTATTTTAAAATTCAAATTTTTTTAAATTTTTTGTGCTATTACTCTACCATATATTAATTAGTAAATCTAATCATTTTTTTATTGGATTTTTATCATTTGCTATTGTTTTAATTGGTCATGTTTTTTAAATTCGAATATATCATATTTTATCCACTTTTTTTTTTTTTTTATTTTTTTTTTTTTTAAAATATATGTAATAAAAAAAAAAAAAA